AAATACAGGAGTAAAGGATCCAAATTACACCTCTGCCATGGATTTTCTAAGCCCAGAGAACATTACTCCACATTAGTCAAGTGCAGACTGAGGTTGTGCAGTAGTTGACCTTGACTGGTACCTTCCGAAAGTGCAGGAGTAGCCGTGTTAGGCGCTGTACTGCGCTACTTTTCAGATATGCTACATATTCACGTGCCACAACATCACAGCCTTTTCACAGGGCTGGGTGGCTCTTAATCCCTCTTGGCTTCGGATTCCCATCTATAGTGTGAAATTATTAGTGCTTTTTTGCCTCACTGAAGCCCTGTGAGAATAAATGTTGGTTAGGGGCCCTGATCATTTAGCAATAGAAAGTATTGCTGACAGATTTTATACTCTGTGGATCTGTGGTACTGCTCTGACCCAACTGCTGCCACTGAATTTCCTGGTTTGCAAAATATTTTTTGCCCAGACATTATCTATGAAGACTTAAGGGTTTTGTGGCAGCCCAGATGTGGGCAGGATTGATTGTGCCCAAGGGTAAGAAGAGTGATATTTTCTGACAAGCACAGGTTTTGAGCATTTTACTGCAGTGCTCTGGAGCATTCTGCCAAACAGGCAGGAAAGGGCCTATGTTCAGCCACAAATCTGCATGTAACCTGGTGCCAATCACACACCAGAGACTTTCAATAAACTCAGGGTGCCAAACCTTCTGGCTGAGGGTCCTAGAATATATTTACAATTTGCCATATTTCTGCAAGCTGCGACTTGAAGGAACTCTTTTGGGACATCAGTCATTCCACACAGCCTTCAGCTCCTAAGCCTGCATGATCCAGACCTTTTTTAATGCTTTTATACAGCCAGAAGCGTAATAGTCAGAAAAGGGTGTGTCTAGGCTGCTTCCCCTAAAACAACACTTGAAAATTCATACAGCACCTTCCCTGCTCCCCAAACTAACCATATTGATGCTCCATCCCTGGAAGTGTTCAAGGCCAGGTTTAGTGGGGCCCTGAGAAACCTGATCTAGTGGGTGCCATATTTGTGCATGGTGGGAAGGCTGGAACTAGATGATCTTTAAGGCCCCTACCAACCCAAGGCTTTCTATGACTCTGTGATATCTCCTCCCTTGCACCTATCTACTTGGCAGTAACAGGCACATTCAGATCAGCTCTAAATCAAGTGTGAAAATTACCTCTGTCCAGCATCAAGACTTGCATCACCTGCAGCTAAGTAGTTTTACATGTATTGCTGAGAAGTCTGGCAGTCCATAATGATGTGCACTTTACATGCCAGTTCTGAGTCCCTGATGCAGCTTTTGCTCCCTACTCTCTACCTCTGGGGTCTTGTTGGTAACAGCCAGTTGTGACAAGGGCTCCTGAGCTGCATTTCCCTGTGTGACAGCCATGGGGAATGATCCTTTCCCATCTCCTGATGGAGCTGACAGCCCTCTTGGCAGGCAGAACAGTGAGGGCTTCTGGCCATGATGCTTTCTGGCTGGTTTTCCTCAGTAACCTCCACTCACTGTGAATGGCTGACCCTTGTAGCCATGCCTCTCACAACCACAGCCTCATCAGGCTACGGCCCTGAGCTCACACCCCTGTAGTTTCCTTCTGGGAAAAGTCAAATGTTTCCCTTAGGACTTCCCAGCCACTCTCTGTACAGTCATTTGTTTGGGTGCCGTCCTCCTGTTCAAGCTGTTTCCCTTCAGCTTACTGTTGTGCCAGATTGTCACATGGTGTCCCAACCACCTTCCTTCACACCTTTTATGTTGTCCTCACCAGGGAGCTCTTGTGAAGTATGATTTTTGGCCTGCTTCCAAGCAGGGTCTTTCACTTCTTTATTGGCTTCTGTCTGTGCCCAGCCAGCAATGAGACAGTCTCAAGGAGTAATGCTCCTTGAGGAGGTGGAATGTCACAGCTATACCATGTCCCTCCTCCACAGAACTCACACTCCCTGGGGCCTGAGAACCCTGCCTATGGCACAGGGGACACAGCAGAGCACTGCTTCTCCAACAGACAGGTGAAATCATTGTGACCATATTTTCAAATTTTTTTCTCACTAATAAAAAGGTCTAGATTATAGTTTTTCCTCCCATTAAAGTAAGCTCAAATGGCGATCACTTTTGCTCAGGAGCTGAAAAAAGCAGCAAATATTTCAAAACAATCACTCATTCACAGCAGAAAAACAGCACATTAAAACACTAGCACTATATCCAAAACAAAAACAAAACATGCAAACTGTGAGTCAAAATGAAGGTTATGAATTTTTGAAATGTGTGTTTTTATACTTAATGAAATGTGACTCATAATATGGGTAGTGTAGATTTACAATGTTCTAAACTATTCATATCCTTTCTCTCAAGCGTTTGGATTTTACAAATGATGTGACAAGTAAATACGTTGCTTAGAAACCATGGTGGGCTTTTGAAACTAATTCTTTTGTTTCTGGGTTTTTAACTTGGCAGGTGTTTGGTGCAGTGGAGTTATCAAACTCCTCTGGTTTACTCTCAGACAGCACCAGTCATTTAAGGAGGGCTCTTAGATAAGGATAAAGCTTAGAAATCCAAGTCTCATGTTATTCCAGCTCCCTGTCTGCATGGCATGCCCTCAATACCTCTTACAGTTTCAGTCACACTGTGTCCAATTCCTGAAACCAAAAACTCTTGTGAACCCACGGGTTTTCTAGGAAGTATTTTCTATGAAGCTTTGAAACCCAGGACAAACTAAGCCAAAGAGATGCTGTGGTGAGGTCATACTGCTTTTAAATAGAGACAGACAGAAGCAGTCTGAAATAATTTATAACTCTTTCATCTAAGAGAATTATGTTAACCAGGAAATTGAGAAGTGGGAGTACTTATAAACGCCACCCTGATCCCAAACTCCTTCCACAACCCCAGAATAGCTGGCATTACTACTAATATGATCTACAGCAGCACATTTAAACATGGTTAACATTTAAATTTAGGTTTCATAAATTACATCCTGCAAAGATGGATAAAGACAGCTCCTATCTCTTTGAGGTATTGTTTAATTTGCAAATTCAAGCAGATGGTGTACGAGCAACTAATGACTCAAAAAATCACCCCTAAAAATAGTCCAGAACAAGGTGTAGATTTATCAGTGAAGGAGGGAATAGAAAAGGCTTTACTTCCCCTTCCCATTTCTCAGGCACAGCTCCAGCAGGAGCTCAGTGCACCCAGAGCCATACAGCAGCAAGGACCCCATCCACACCCCATTTTCAAGAATCTCTCCCCATCACCTTCCACAGGGTGGAGTTGAGATGAGGAAATGGGTTCAGCACTCCCCACTTTCTCCACACCAAGCATGTGTATCCAACAAAAAAAAAAAAAAAAAAAAACCACACTGGAAAATGACATCTTCATTAAATGTACCCTGCACTGCTCAGCACAACCGTGCAGCACCACTGAAACTTTCAGTCTCCCAGTCAGGTGGGTAGTGCTTCATGAAAACTGACATTTCCAAGCAAATTCTATAAATACTTGTCACAGCTTCCTCATGAGGCCGTACCCTGCAATATAGTGTGCCTCCGCCGGGAAGCCAGCTTTGCTGTCACTCCCCTGTTTGTGATGATGTTGTACCCCTGTCTAACCACACTCGTACAGACTCTCAGGGAAGCAGAGAGTCCCTTCAGGATGTGCTGTGGGGTTTGAGGAGGGGTGAGGGACTGTGTGGGGGAAACTTGCCGTGCAGCCCAATTATATAAACCACAAATTCCTCAGAGCACCGTGCCTGAGCAATGCCTGGCAGAAGGCACTGTTCACAGCCATCCCCAAAGCAATGCTGTTCTGAAGTAATAAATATTAATAATTTCTGGTTAAAGATCCCAGCACAAGTAAAGCCTCAGCTTGAAAAGTAAAATGTTTCTGTATGAAAAGCAGGAGGGCCTCTGGCAATTTGAACAGCTACAGGTAAGTGTTATTATTTACTGCACATATACAGGCAGAAAATGTATATTAAATCACACTTCACTTGTTTCTGTGAAGCATAAAACTCTCCTTCTGCTACATATTTTGCTCTTTTCTCTTGCTCTTACCATGAGTTCTTCCACCTCTGTTCCTCACATCTCTGTCCTCTACTGCTGAATACATTGGGAAGGAAGCACTCTCCCTCCATTTTTGTTAAAAGCAGCGACTGATACCAAAATGTTCTAAGTGTTATACTTCAACTGATTTTTTAGCCCATGCTTAGTATTTTTTTTTTTTTTTTTTTTTTTTTTTTTTTTTTTTTTTTTTTTTTTTTTTTTTGGCTTGTCTTATCTTTTTACTGTGCAACAAAAATTAGTTGCTGTTAGGACTCATGACTGAACCACTTCTGACATATATTATTTCACTGGAGCATAGCTCTTTTCCCCATTACAAATGCAGCTCTAAATTTGTAAGACCTTGCCTGTGCTTATCTTATGTGTTTCCCCCCTCCTCTTGTGACATCCTAAATAAAAATAATATTTAAAAATAAAGGAAAATATATGCTAATTATATACATCAGGCCAGAAGAAAGAGTTGCACCAGAACACATTGGGTGAGGATTTGACTGCATCAGCCAGATGAAGCTAAGAGATTCTGAAATGGATTCTAAGAGAGAAGAAAGCAACCACTCGCCTTGGCTCTATCACTTACTCAAAGGTGTGTAGATGAGCCTGGTTCTGAGTGAAAGTCTTGCCATGGCAAATAAACCATAAAGTCAAATTCTGTGCTGGCAGAGGCACGATGCAGAATGATTTACTGTAGCTGTTCTAACATTCACAATAGTGAGTGAGATGCCAGCATTCTGCTTCATTAACCAGTCATTTTGATAGCATCTTTTTTTTTTTCTTTTTAATTCTAGTAATTTTCTCTTCTTTGCAATTATACTGGATGTCTAAATCCCTCTACATAAATTATAGCTTTCTTTTTGAGGGGGAAACTGGCCACATAAGCTGGAAACACACTCTCCTCTGAAGCCAGAACCTGAAGGGAAGGAGCTTGAGCAGCAACCCTAGACTCATCAAAAGATTATCTTTACCTTGCTCCCACAATGAGCTGGTTCCTGTTGGCATCCAGTGCAAGCTGAGAAAAGTCATGCACACCTGGATAGGTGAAATTCGACACCCAGGGCTTCAGATCTGCAATGGAAACGAGAAAGCAGAAAACAGTAAAGCTGCTCCAGAAGCAGTGAGTTCACCTAGACATTTACTAATGGATTTCCTACTGAGTTATCTGTCAGGGGAAGGCTAATTAATAACCTCTTTAAAGGGTTTCTATTTTTTCTGATTCTCGGCAGAATGTGCAAAAAACCCACACATAAACACAAGGCCGTCTCAGCAGTTATTTTCACATCCATGATGGAGTGTCAGTATTGGTTTCAGAGACAAACAGCAGCTCAATTTTACTAAGTTAAAACTGAGGAAACATCTTCAGTGTCAGGATTAAGTGGTGTAAAGGGATGAGGCTGCCTGCCATAACACTTCCCCAGCCTTGCCTTCTGTGCTAATCAAAGGGAAACTGCTGCCTGCCAGAAAGAGAAGGCTGTACCACCTGATGAAGAGCCAAGTTAGAGATACTAGTGATCTGCACTTAAGACCTACCTGCTTGAATGACAGATTTTGCCTTCTCTTTCAGGTCTTAGGTTGTCTTCTACGTTTCATTTTACCTAGCATTTCACAGCCTATCAGCTAAAGCCTTCCTTCATTTTTAAATGGTGGGATGTTGGGTGTCATCACAGCATCTTTGTGGCTGAGCAATTGCAAGGGCTTGAGACTGGCATTATCAGCTGCCTTGGACTTGCCCATCTAGGCAACTGTCCAAAATGCAATCATATAGGTTAAATGCAAAGCAATAGATTTGGCTGTGCTTTGCTCAAAGAGACAAAGCTCTTCCAGAAGTTACATCTGTTAACATTAACTGAGCAATCTAGGGCAGAAAGTTCTGCTGTAAAAAAACCAAAACAAAAGAAAAGAAAAAAGGTAAATTACTATTTTTAAAAGAAAAAAGGCAAATTACTATTTTTAGGGTACCCTCAGGCATGAGGCTAGGGCATTCACAGCATCCCATCATTCAATACCACCATCAACTTTGTGTATATTTACAGATCACAGAATTTCAGTCTCTCACCTTACACCTTAATTGCACAAAATAACTGGGAATAGATTTAAATATGTTTTCAGAAAGTCATCCAGCTTTCCTGTGAGGACTTCTCTTGAGAGTTTATTTTGTTAACTACTCTGGCTGTAAAATACATGGAGAATACCAAATACCTCAGGGGGCAAGGCACAGACGAGACCGAATCAGTATGACTGTAATCCCTTTGTGACTTGTTGACAAGTAGCCCTGCCTCATTCAAGGACTGGTTGTTGAAGATCCAGGAGGCTAAGCATGGAAGGTAACATCTTCTGGTCTCACGCCAACAGGATACCACTACACAGGCCAATGACCTGATGACTCATAACAATAATGATGCAGTTCAGACCAGTTCAAAAGAGGTCTGAAAAAACATGTTCCACTGTCATTTCATATCCTCAAAGATGAATTGAGAAGCCTTGCTGAAGGCAGTCAGGTTCGAACACTTTGTTGCATGCATTAGTTTCCCTTTCCACAGGGGCAAGAGAACAATGCTGATGAGGAATAATCTCACCGAGGCCTGTGGTGTCTTGGCATGCTTCACAGGATTACAGATGTGCAATGGTTTGAAACCTTTGACGTAGGGATATTTGTTGAGCAATTTCAAGTCCTTTCTCCCTCCAGGGATGGATGAACCTTAATCAAGCCCTTAAGTTTTTGAAACCTTAAGAAAACACATATAAAAAGTCCCTGAAGTCTACATGGCCTGCCTCTCTTTCCACAGCAGGACCTTGTCATGGAGCTTCTGCCCCAGCCCTGAACACCACCATGTCTCAAAAGAGCACCTATAGTCCCTCACCACAGAGCTGGACACCATCTGGCCTGGCCCCATGCCCTGCCTAACTGGACACTGCCAGGGTCCCTCCAACAGTGAGACCTCCATCCTCACAATAATAAAATGCTGCTGGGGCTGGAGGCTTTCAGCCCTTCTCAGCATTCCTGTCACACTGTGTAACCACACACAACACATGTACCTCCTCTGCTCTTCAATGAAAAGGCATGAGTTAAGGAATAACTCCTCTAACCTTCAAGCATCCTCCTACACTCCTCTGGGACCCTTAATGATGTACTAGCACCAGGGAGGCACTGCAGTTTCACCTCTGGCATTCTCCTAATGGGACTCTGACTTCTTTTTCTGTAGCTCTTTAGCTGCAGAGACATTTCTGAGCCAAGCAGCAGAACCAGCAACAATAACACCTTTCAGGCAGGTTAGCTGGCTGACATGCTGCAGATCTTCTGGCATTTCTCTTGGTGATGGGGGTAGGATTAGAGAATTGCTATATAATGATGATACCTTTTAAGGATCCTGCTTTTAGGCCATAATTTCTCTTGTCATTTTACCTCCTCTTTTACTGACTCTTTCCTACTAACTAACCCACTATTAGAGTGCAGCAGCAGGAAGAATATTTCTTCATCTGCTGCTCTAAGCAAAAGCTCATCACTTCAGAGAGGCACACTCATCAGTGCTTCCTTTTAATGGCAAGCTTTGACAAACTACAGGTAAAAATAATTTTTTAAAAATTAAAGGCAGTAGTTTGCTTGAATCTTTCCAAGTTGGCTCAAATGTCAATCAAGCCCAAGAAATAACAGGCAGTGTCTTGATTTCTGTTAGTACTGCAGGTGGTACAACGTATAAAGAAACCCTTCCCAGTTATTAAATTAAATGCTGAAAGGCATGCATCCTCATAGCAAAATTAAGCTTTTATAGGCATGTAGTTGGAGATTATTAAACCCAGCATGGTCCCACATAACAATGTATAAATGCAAGTCATCAGAATTAATGCCAAATGGCACATATTCCTTCCCAAACTTTTTTCTTCCTGTTAAGAGGGAATGCAACTGCAACCAAGAATCAGGACATGGGTCTTTTTTCATTCAACACATTCAAACCTACTGCTCAGACCACAGGCATCCCTAGAAACATTTTCAGCTTCACTCTGAAACTAACTCAGTGCTTCAAGGTAAATGCTGCCCTAGGTCCACCCCATATTAGCTGAAGTTTACACATATGGACCCAATGAGCTCCAGAGATTGCTTGTATTTGACCTTCTTCTGAAGGTTGATTTTTCCAGTGCTGACTCTTTAATTTGGCTGGAAACCTTCAGTGCTGGGGTATGTTTACATTTGCAAAAGTATCTGTTTAAAAACAGTATGAAAAATTAAAAACCAAGGCTCTGGCTTTGCATGTCAGCAGCAGGAGATTGAAAACTTGGAACCACATGGCTTAGGGGCAAAATGTTCATCAAGGCCTCCTTTGTGCTTCTCGTCTCTAATCATTTCCAGGGGGTTAAAGATCCGTGCTCTCACTTCCTCCACATGAAAACCAATGAAAAAGTTTAATAGTTTCCAACACCATCCCTCTCCAGATATCTGATTCAGAACCTCTAGAGCTCTGCGAGTCCCTCTACAGCTCAAGGTGGCTCAGGTATCCAGCTGCAAAGACAAAGTTTTGAAGGAAATGTAAGTCTGCAGGCACAGCAGTGCTCAGCTATTGTGCAAGCCAAAGGCAAGGTGAAAAGAGGCCCTCTGCCATTTCAGAGGGTGGTCCCCACAGCCTCCAGCACACTGCTCTGCTCTGACTTCCTGAGAGCACAGGGCTGGGACCAGGATTCCTCAGCTGCACAAATGACAGCAAGCCAATTTGCAGGAGCTGAGTTTAAGAGCATGATCCAAAAGCTTTGCAAATCATTGACAGTTTTCCCCTGAGTTTGATAGTTTTTGGATCACCTCCTAAAGATATGGTAAACCTGGTAATACTTGAGTCTTCATCTCCTCAAAAGCAACTGCTCCCCACCTCACCCTTACTCTGCATGTTTTGGAGGAATGAAATATGCGAAGACTGAGCTGAGGCTTCCCTGTTTGAAGGACAGCATTCACTGCTTCATCTCACTTAAGCCCTTTGTCACTCCCATCCCCAGCAGGCTGTAACAGCTTTGAGTGTCCAGCACACATCACACAAGAGCAGACAGGTTAAATGCCCATGCCTTGAAATTGCAAAGCCATTGTAGGTGCATGGAGCATGGCTACCCACAGTGCTATTCAACAACAGCTCTTGCAAAATAATTCTCAGCAAGGATTGCCTACTTGAAGCAAAAGAAATGAAACTGAACAGGACCAAGGATTCTTTGTGTAAAATGAGGGTATACCCATGAGCACAGACTAACCATGCTCCTATCCTAGGACTGCACAGAAAAGCTTCAAAGAGATCATAAAAAGACCTTATGAGAGATAAATTCAGAGGGTCCCCATTCCAGAAAAGATAACCCGAATCCCATACCTTATGTAAGGCTCTGTAAAACAGGCTGATTCAGTAGTAAAAGTTTTGCAATGAAGTAGAGCATACACAGCACTTTGGACCTGTCAGACTCAATGGCAATAAAGAAGTACCTGTTCTGCAGATACTCAGACCTACTTTTGTGCAGTGCTAACTTGATCACACATCGAATGCTTCCCTTACTGCCTCAGCATGGTCTCTTCTAAGTTCTCTTAACTCAGCTTACTAGTTCAGGACATGCTGAATTACTGTGTGTGAGTATTGGAGCACTCCTGGCAAGGCTCAGATGACAGCCATGACTCCTGTAACTTGTACAATATCCCCTCTTGGTTTGCTTCAGCCTTGGCACAGGGCAGATGATGTATAGTGATTAAACCACTCAGTTTTATTTCAGACCACCCACTAGGCTGGAGGACTCTCAGTATTGGATTTGAACCATGACCAAAAGATGCAAATCATATTGTAAAACAAGGAAAGACCTCAGGCTCTCTTCTTGGTACAGACTGATGAAATGTCCCCTTTTCAGAATCAGACCTACCATCTCAGACCATCCTCTCCTTCAATTATCCTCAGTATTCAGAGCTTTTCCATGAAGTAGACAGTTGCCTGCTAAGACTGAGGCCACAGTTTCCATTGTGTGTGGGCCCCTGATCAGACCCATCAGAGACAAGGAAAACAAGGCTGTAACCAAAGCTGAGAAAACTAATGATTACCTAGCTATCACCTGTCTTC